TGACTCTGCCGCCTCCTCTCCTCCCTCAAACGTAACCCAACGTTACACTGCCCATTTGATAGGCTTCATTATAGGTGTTTAGGAGTAAAGGTGCCAATTCTTCAGGATATGATTTATAGAACTCGGCTGTAAAGCCGTCTAAACATGGAGCCTTACTTGAAGGAAGATGTTTAATAACCCCAACTAACTCCTCAATAGTAATGGGTGAATCCAGATATTCAAGCTGATCGGCTGTGACTTTGGAAAGATCTAAAGGCATAAAATGTCTTATGTCATTCTCTGAAGCATTTGACTCCGGGCTGTACAGGTCCATGTAGAAGTTACTGAATGCTGTATTAATTCTCTTGGGCTCAAAAAGGAGATGTCCATTACCATCTTTAATGGCTGAAATAGTGGTCAGGGCCTCCCTCTGCTTGATATATCTTGCCAGGAGCCTGCCTGCCTTATCCCCCTCTTCAAAATACTTCTGTCTCACACGAAATAAAGAAAATTCTGCTTTTTGTGACAGTATTGCATTAAATTCATATTTCAATTTGGTCAATTTGTTCAAGTTTGAAGAAGAGGAGTTTCTTTTAAAACTAGATTTGGTGATCGCAATCTGTTTTTCGAGATCCTGGAGCTTGGCAAGGCTCTCTCTCTTCTTAAAGGAAGCATATTGAATAATGTGTCCTCTTAAAAAGGCCTTCAATGCCTCCCAAGCCACTCCAGCTGAAGGGGCACTGGGCACATTGGTCTCTATATACAGGTTAATTTGAAACCTAAGAGACTCTTTGAATGTTTCAACTAATAGAAGGCTGGAGTTCAGTCTCCACCTAGGGGTCCTGATGGTAGTATTGAAAGCAAACATATGGAGGTAGACAGGGCTGTGGTCTGAGAGAATTATATTGCCAATAGTACTAGATGCAACAGCCGACATCAGTGTTTGAGACACCAGAAAAAAATCTATTGTCGAGAAGGAGTGGTGGGGAGAAGAGAAAAAGGTATAGTCCCTCCCGGAAGGATTTTGCAACCGCCAAACATCTATTAGAGCGCATGCCTCAGACATCCCCTTAAGAGCAGTGTGGGCCCTAGAAACCCGTACCAGTTTAGAGCTTCGGTCTAGTAGTGGGTCCATAACCTCATTAAAATCACCCCCCAAAATAACTGGATAGTCTCCCATATCAATTATTTTTTTCTCAAGTTGTCCAAAAAATGTTGGATCATCAATATTCGGAGCATATACATTGGCCAGGATTATAGTATTCCCTTGAATTTCACACAGCATCAGCAGCATCCTCCCAGCGTCATCTTTGCTCTGTTTGAGACATTTAAACTGCACGTGTTTACTAATCAGCGTTGCCACCCCTCTGCTTTTGCTACTGCCACTGGCTGCACCCACAAAGACTGCCCAACCTGCAGACAACCTCTGAGAATCCTGAGGCGAAAGATGTGTCTCTTGGACAAACACAATATCGCATTTTTGGGATTTAATAAAAGACAATACTTTCCTTTTCTTAACAACATTGTTAAGGCCCTTGACGTTCCAGCTCATGAAGCTCAAGTTGTTATTACTAATTGGTAATGCACAAGATACATATAAAACAGAGTGTGCAGTAACCTACGAAACGAGTTAGTGTTTTTGGCATCAAAAGAACAAAACAATAATATGAACAGGTATGACAAACTTGTCAGAACAAAACCCAAATAGCATCCAAAAAAAGGACACTAATCCCTCCCTCACCAAGGTCGGTGATCAAACACTTAACTCGTGCCGCCTTTAAGCCCCCTGCTCCCCGAACTCTGGGCCAGGTGAGTAAATATATATGTATATCCATACACACACATACATACACTCATCCACATGCATACCCATACATATATAAAAGGAGAGGACAAAAATCCCTGAGCCCAGTGTAAAATAAAACAACAACAAAGAGTCTACCAAGAGTCGCCACCATCAGTATGTCATTTCAGATCAGACCCACAACGCAGACGAAAAAGTACAAGCAATGTAAACTCAAAAATTCAAACCAAGTACTACATAAAGCACATCAGAGCCGTGCTCACCTTGCCACCGCCAAGTACCAAATCCACATTATACTCTCAGAGTCATTCGTGGGAAGATGAAGAAAAACACAAAATAAAAGGTCCATGCCTGTCCGTTGTACAAGGTCTGTGACAGTCAATATCTTTCCAGTGTCCATCTGCGTTGTGGGTATAATCCAGATCGCACAAACATGTCCAGAAGAAAAAGCAAAAGAGCGCATTTTACTCAAAAGAGCGAATAAAAGTCAGGGCTTTTTTGTGGTCTTCAAAGCGGCGGAGTCCTTGAGGGGTTTTCACGATGAGTACCGCAGGGTAGACCAGGGGAGAAGCGCATATGTTTGTTGTGTAGAAGTTTTTTGCATTTGTTGAACTTCGCACGCTTATCACTCAAAAGCTTGGAGTAATCCGCAAAAACCATAACACGGTGCTCTTCCCAGGAAACGTCACCCAGTTTACGTGCAGCCTCAGCGATGCGATTACGGTCTTGAAATCTCAGAAATGTAGCAATAAGCGGTCTCGCACAGCATCCTTATCCTCACAGCCCTCAGGGAATCCTACAAAGCGCAAATTATTCCTTCTGTGGCGAGACTAGATTGAAGTCAGGAAATTGTAAATTTCTGAACCCAAATAAAATTACTCAACAACGCCACCTTGGGAATTTCACCCAAGGAATATTACTCCCCTTTTTGATAGGACACACAAGTTCACTCATGCGTAGATTGAGACATCTGAGACAATGTTACGATGTATAAAAAGCCTTTTATTAGATGCTTCTTAAATATTCTTTTTAAAACCAGTTCTTTATAATACTAAAGGGAAAAAAAGAAAAGTAACTACAGTTGCTGAGGTTACCGGCGGACCACTATAGGACGGTAACACAGCAAACAAAACCCTTGTAAAGCACCAGACGCAGTGAGACAACCCAAACTCAGGAATCACGGCACACAAAAGAAAGAAGACCGTCACCACACCAACACCGCCGCCGGGCCTCAGCACTGCCAA